AAAATTATATTTCCAAACGAACGGTTTTTTTTTTTACTGGATATATCTGCCTTATGATATATGATATGATATTATGGTAAATAAATTGAACTCAAATCGACTAGAAGGACACCGAATTGCGTAACTAGGTCTTATGGTACTGTTCTTAAGAGTACCCTAGAAATTAAATCCTTGAAAGCCCATCCATATGTATACTGACCTCTTCATTTCCAAATGTATGCACCCACATACATTTTAAAACGATTACATTTATTTGTACTTACACACACTTATACACACTTATGTATTTATACTGATACTTACATATATTATTATAGACAACTAGAATATTTAATGTAACGCGGTGGATTTTAGACAAATTTGTGAAACGGGCACAAAAACGCCCTGGCTCACAAAGTGACGTCCTATGTGGCGTCGAACCCACGATACTCAGCGCAGCAGAAAGCGGCGAACTATTATAGAGGAAATTCCATCCATACAGAGACGAAATCTCACAAAAATTGTGCTGGGTGAGAATCGAACCCACAACTTCTGGCTTAGTAATCAGGGTCGCAAACAACTACATTAATAGAATTGTCACCTTGTAAACCTCATCTTGGTAATCTATATACCCATGACTAAGTAAAAGCAGTTGGCAAGGCTCCATGCACTGCTAAAACTACTATAAAAATACAAACACAAGCGTTTCACCTAGAGAAATATAAAAAAAATGCACAAATACAAACTGTCAGTCCATCAGCCATTTAGCATCGATACGCAGAACAAACTACATTCATATTTAAATATATTCAGTATCCTTTATTATTTACCCAATGAAGACTTTCCGCTACAAGGAACCGCTTTTTCCTGTCCATTATTGTTCGCGAATGCGTCGGAAGATAAATCTTTTTCAACTTTAATGCAAAAATTGTGTTTATGTGGGTGGGTAATATATAAGTTACTATTTTATTTTTATAGTTGTAGATGTATATCATCATGTAGCCAAGAGCAGTGTTTTCTTAAAGGAAATAGTTACGTATTAGAGTCTATATATATATAAATATATATTATATGTTTGTTAAAATATACAAGTGTGTCCTACATGCTATAGTAAGTGGCGCGCAGAATTGACTTTAACGCTACTCCTAGTCCATTAACTAAAAGTCAGAAAACTATGGAGCGAGCTATGAGTTAGAGTTTCTTTGAAGGACAAAATTCGTAATGTGGTGATCCAACTAATACCCTAGGTTAATAATTCGGAGAATCAGCATGCTGAAGTGGTAATGAACTGGCCGTATCTGCTGGACGACCGATTGACGCTGGAGCAACCGCCGCTTAATATGGTGACCAAACTAACGATATCAGAAAGGTAACTGAGATAGATTGAGAGAGGAAGGTGGAGGACCGTGGGCTATACGTAGGTACGTTTTGAGAGGCAAAAATCATACAAATATAGTGGTAATAATATAAACCCCGGAGAATAATTGGAAATTAATAAATTAAAACCTTTTTTTATATTATAGGTATTAAAAAAACAATAAGTACATATAGTGTTTTATATAAATTTGTAAATGTATGTAAATAGTTCTTAAATCTCAGAAATTGATTCTCTAGGAAATCCTAGAGATTAAAACTTACATATTTATCTAAGTTTTATTCTCTAGGAATCAAAGTATGACTTCCTACAAAATTTACATCTATCTTGCTATGGGTACATAATCAGTTTTATTGTGTATCCAAAAACATGTTTGATATACTTGTGTCTCAAGAGCGCCTTCATTGGTAAAACAATGCCTAACTCGTACTCTAATACTACCATACCACCAATAAACTGTCTTTTAATTAACGTTGAAGTATATCACTGTACTAATTTTGCTCATATCTATTATGAGCATCTTAAAATGTCTTTCGGAGCATTTATTTTTGGGACCGTATGATTAAGGCCAAGGCAATTATTAACCTCTTGCTCTAAATATTAATTTTAATATAATCAATACCCTAACAAATTTAGCGCTATGGCAATTTACGAAATTCAAATACAATTATAGAGGCATATACTAGCAGTTCTATTACTTATTTAATGGTTATATGTAATCCTGGATGAACCGTGTTATAACTAATCTTGACTCCAAATAACGTACTAATTTACATCCTAAGTCCTAGTAGAATTTACTCTAACTCCTAATGTAATAACAGATTTAAGGTTTCTTGACAAGTCATTATATAGTGTTGTCCCAGCACCTTACGGACTATAATCCTCAATCCCTTTATAAGCCCCAACAAAGCCTTGTAACATATAACCTCTTTAAGATCTTTGCAGGCCTCAGGGCGATCAATCTCGTCCATTGTGACGTCACAGGTGTCAAGGTTACCCTCTTCTATATGTGTTTACCGCCTCAAATAGGTCTATCAATCATGGCTTGTTTAATACTAAATGAATTATGGTTTAGTATTAAAGCGTTATTTTGACTAAAGAAAAATGTAAAAATGTCTTGGGTGCTACATTTTATTACATAAAACTATTTTAAAGAATCTTAACACTTAAATTTCAATACTTATATTTACTCTCAATCATACCATTTACAACGATTTTATCTGAAAAATTAAATGTCAAATGTATCAAATCACATAAATTTACAGAAATACTAAAGTTTAGGTCCTATTGCACTATAAAATATAATTGCTCAAAGCTCAAGTAATCTAGGATGACAAATGGGAATAATTTTTCTTAATGATGTCACATTCAAAATGCTGAAGATTTTGTGCAACCAAAGGGCTTCATAAATCAAAATAAAGAGCCTTTACTTAGTATATACTAAGAATATAAAACATACAAAGGTTACAAAAATAAATTCTCAAAACTTTGTCACAGAAAAATACGAAGACAGTAAAAAGTGTGATAAATCTAAATTATGAGATTAGTTTCTTTAGAGAAAACAACGGTTAGTAAGAAATGGCATGTGTTTGTTTTAAAACAATGTTTTGAAGAAAGTTTACCACAGAGATATTAAAATATTTGTTGTGTTTTTAAGGATTGCACACCTTTTCGTAATATACTCTCATCCATCGCCTCTTTCGCCGCAGAGATAAACAGAGGAGTATGACACACTCACATTTTGGTAACTATAATTTTAGTCCCACTTACGTAATATGGTGCCAAGTCTGTTGCCATCATGCGGAGTCTTTGGAGGTTAGATAGGGAAACCGGGAGTAATTTGAAAGAAAGCTTAAATAACAAGAACGCAATGGTATGAAATAATTCGATCTGCTCGTACTACTACATACCATTACAGGTATGCCCGTGTGGTGATTGATTAAGAATACGGAGTGTCACCACCCCTATTCATCCCGTGGGTGTCGTAAGAGCCGACTAAGGGAGAAAGCTATGCAGGACAACAACACTGCAAAGAGAAGGAAAACTTGACACAAACCCTATACCAACAAATCTGGCCAGCATGGTGTAGTATGCTCCTTTATATATAGTCCAAAACCTCTTTTCTAAGGAGAGGTATATTTCCAGCAGTGGACTATTAAAGGCTATTGATGATGATGATGATAATGACCCTTTCCATACCTGTAACACGAAGTGACTGTTATATGATAATCTGAGCCCCAGAACAGAAACTCCTAAAACCGATTAATTAATATGCAAATTAAATACTTAGTTATAAAAAAAGACGACTGCTTTCAATTTTTTTTAAGAACATTTAACACGTTCAGATGATATAATTAAAAACGATGAACAATCAACTGAAATAATTAAAAACGACTTAAAACTAAAAACGACGACTAAGTCCGATTATCACGACATACCTATGTCCCCTTTCATACGATAAATGCATCATACCTAGCCAGGTTACAATCAACTAGAGATACAACGCTATTGGCAATGTAATTAGACCGTGCATTTTATAGAACTGACACAAGAATACTACTTATATAATTAGTAATATGTGTCCGATAATTTAAAATTCTTATTGCTATAATGATTAAGATTGACGCTATACGTGTTGTGACATGTCATGGAAAATATGGTTAAAATTGGAAAAATAAAACAAGTGAATATTTTCACATATTAATAGTTTTCCTTTGGCCTTAATGTAATAAAAAATAAAGTACTACTCTTTATTACATTAAGGCCAAAAATGCCATCATCACAAATAACTAAACGTTTTAAATGTTTGTTCATTAGTAAGATTAAACGAGTCAGTAATAACAAATGCTTCACAAATTGTCCAAGGAAACACTTAGTGATCAATTTTAATGAAAGTTTTATCGGTCTAATTCATCAGTTCAATTTGGTAATGAATCTATCCGATTACCTTCTTCATCATTTGATCCACAACTTTTATAGAGACATGTTGTATAATAATTTTTTTAGTAAAGATTTACCTGTCAATGGAAAACCAGAATGGGCGATCAGATCCTCTGTTGTACCGATCGGTGTAAAACAAACAAAGGTTAATGAAAAGAATAACAGTGCAGTAAATTGTGTGAAAGCTCAAATATATGCAGCGTTTATTTTTGGGATCAACAGACGCTATTTGCTTCAAAGAAAAATACTATATTTAATCTTTGGTTATGTCTACACAATAACCATTGCGTCACTGGTATTGTTTAATATGTATAGATCAGAAACAATAAGTGTCGCACACTTTGTTTTTAAATATACATTATGTGTCGAGTATTTTATTATAGTGATGCTTTCGTTGATATCAAGGCAAGAGAATTTGATCAGATTCTTTCGTAACCTCGACAAATTTGACGAAAAATTAAACTTAAGCAATGACTTAAAAACCATCGATGCCGGTTATATTTGTATATTTTGGCTAACAGGTTGTTTATTATACAGTTTAATCGAATACATTATGGTGTACTTTTTTTTGTATCTCTTTTTGGATGACACTGTCTACAGTTTATACGTGATGATGTTCACGCACGACTTTGAACAGATATTGTTTTTCATGCTCCTGAGGAACATTTATTTGCGACTTCTTATATTGAAAGCACACGTATCTAGAATGTTTAATGCGGAAGATAGAACGGGCAATTATAGTGAGACGTTGAACAAAGTTGAAGCATTGTCTAAGAATATTCGCCTCGATATAACTTCTTTACACCAGGTCTACGATTTACTTCACAAGTGTGCGGAACAACTAAACAGCGCAATGAGTCTGCCAGTAAGTTTAATCATCAATTATTCTCTTATTTATTTTCAAATAACTTACAAATTCTTTATTTCTAAATAACATACTTTATTTATTAATTTAGGGTTTGGTCTCCCTTCTATTTTCATTCCATTGATGTACCTAAGCTGTTTTTTAAGAGTCTGACTAATCCTTTTTATTTTAAATGTTAATATAAACAAGGCTTTGTTTTATCTAGCTATTATTATCGTTTTATTGGAAGTTTTTTTTTCTAAATGCGTTCAGTTTAGCCTATAAAAGTTAAATGAATACGTTTTGCAGATGACAATAATACTCTTGACTTCTGGGTTAACGACTACAATGTTACTGAAGATGATGGTTACGGTAATACAAACAGTGACTACTAGTAATACCGTGAGTACTGCTTTTCCGTATTGATTAATATACAACACAGTTAATTTTACGTGAGATATATTACCGAGAAACGAGATTAATTATCATGTTTATTTATGATGTTTTCAGATTAAGTAGGTAGTTCGCCAATTAGCGACAAAAATCTTAATGTATTGTTGGGCTGTGTGTCTTTGTAGTTCGACAAAATGTATATCTTTAGCGATGGTACAAAGTTTTTTTTTATTGATTTGAAATCTTATGTAACCGTTTTGTCGTGCCCTAGCAGCAGTGAATCATTAAATCCAATAAACTTAATTGTTATCAAATAAAAGCAATATTTTGAAAATAAAATGAATCCCATATGGTGTCTTGTTACGGTGTACTATTATCTGTAGATCCTTTAACTTCTTATTATCTATAGATGACTAGGTATTAAAAATAGAAAGGTAATGCTCGACGAGCAATACCAAATCTGGTCTCTAGAGAAAATTATGACCTTATTTTATTTCTGTAATTTGATTTCCTTTTCAGTTTGGTAGATCGACCATATTATACTTGTTTAGTCGGGCTGTGAAATACACGGCATTGGTGGTGACCTCTTGCTACTATTCGAGTGTTACATCGACGCAAGTTGCAGCTATAAGAACAATGTTGCATGATGCTGTCCATTCTTTTCCTTTAGGTATGTTTAACTGTCACCGTAGAATTTGGCTTTACTGTAACCTCCTTTCTAAGGAGAGGCCTATGTCCAGCAGTGGATTATTAAAGGCTGTTGATGTGACCGTGTTACAAAGGTCACATATCCCTTTCGTAATAACACATATGTATGAGCAAATCAGACAATAATACACTAACAAACCTCTTAAGAACAATTACAAAGGGTTCATGACAATTCTTGTTTCAACCCTTGTCTACCAAAATACCTAGCTGGAGTCCTTCAGATTTAGAACTTCTTAGACTTTTCCCCTCACACTGGCATCGTCCTTGATTTCCTGTATTTTCATAACTTTAGATGTGATATTGAATTCGGCTTTTAGTTTAAGTCTTTGCTTTTGATGTAAGCCCCCTTTAACATACTATACATTATATTATTTTGACGGTCCTGTTGGTCTAGTGGTTAGTGACCCTGACTGCTAAACCGGAGGTCGTGGGTTCGATTCCCACCCAGGACAAATATATGTGGGGATATATTATTCATTAACAACTTAATTAACAGTTAATTACTACCAGAAGAAACGGGGTTTGTGTGCATGTATTTGTTTCGGTAAAAGTAATAATAATATATTACATATTATTAAATATAATATATCTATTGATTAAGTAAAAACATTCACCTAACGTTACATTACGATTAAAATCTCACCAATAATATGAATAGAAGTATGTCTGAAATCTTTCGATTAAATATGTCAGAATCATTTGTGTTTATACATTTCTCTTTTGCAGATAAAATCGAGCGTCGTAAAGTAAAGGCATTCTTTCAGCTAACTAAAGAGAACGAGTTCGCCTACGCCTTGGGCGGTGTGATCAGACTCAATATGTCTTTGCCTCTTAGCTATATAAGCTTATGTACAACATACTTAGTCATTTCCATACAGTTTTCTAAATTTTTTGACAGTTAAACGAGATACAAAAGTCACACAGTAAAGTATAATTTAAGAACTGGAAAGAAAACGTTTATAAATCTAATTAATAAGGTCTAACGAAATTTTGTGACGTCAGGAATTATAAATACTTGAAGGTTATCATCGTCAATTAACTTGCTTAGTTTAACGAGAAAAGGTAGGACAGGAGAAGTTATTTATTTATAACTTCATGCGCCTATGACATTCTCTGCCAGTCGACCGATTGGGCGAAGCAGAGATAGAATGAGATAGGTGCACTTATGGGGATGAATAATAGAATCCTTACATATACATACAAACACATATAAGTATATATACATACACACACATAAATGCGGCAATGCACTTGTGGCTCTTGAATTGCATGTACCAGCTGCGGCGGTGGTTACTTACTATCAATTCCATAAAAAAATCTTAACCTCCTTTAGTTTGAGCTGGAGTTGTACGACGCGTGACAATTTTAGTGTTACAAAAGTAGTAAAATGCAGCTTAAGATGATGTTAGAAATAATTAAAAACAGTTACAAAAAATTACGGGTATTTATTTCTTTTAGCTTAAGATCTAGTTTTATTTTAAATCATCAAACTCAATACTCAAATATCTTTATTTCATTTAAAAAAAATTGAAATCGTCTCTTATGTAGACTATAAGGTCATAGATCAACACACACCACCAGCAACAGTCTCTGTTTTATCAAATATTCAGCAAACTAAATACATGCGTATCGAAATTCTCTTATATGCCTGTGCCGATCTACAACCGCCCTCTCTACAATCGCTTAACAATTTTAATAAAAATCATAATTCTATAAATAGCAAAAATTTGCTTTTGTAAGTATTTCTGTAGTATTACAGTTTCTATAACATTCATCATCAGAGTCTACTTATCTCACGTTCTTTCTATATAATAAATGTAGAGACATATTCCTCGTTTCTTGATGAAAATAAGCATTAACTGAACCTCGTGGTATTAATGTCGTTCTTTATTCGATGAAAAAATATTATATTCAAGATAATTAGGTTGAATGTCAGTTGGGCAATATCTGCGCAAAACATTTAGTTCGGTCGTTTTTTAAAACGAAAATGTCATTACGACCCGGTCGACTGTTATGAAGGGTCGAATAGCCGTACAAACTGCACAAAACACGTTCCCTCTTGATTAACTTGCAAAAGAGGCGGTACTTGGAATGGTAATAAAATTAAAGTATCAATACAGTTCAAACCATTTTACAGAAAGATAAAGAAAATGGTTGAATACCTATAAACATTTCAAGCGAAGACGCTTGTAGGTACGAAGGTAAAATAGTAATAGGTGATCAGCTACCGAAATCGTTTTTCTATCTAATCTCGTTCAGTTGATGAAAATGTGACTTGGCGAATTTTCGATTTGCGTGAACCAAATTTTGCTAACTTGCCTCATAATCGTTGGTGGTGATTCGGGCTTTAGCGAACCAAGAGCGGCTTGAGGCAAGAAAAAAATTGCGAGATAACATTTGGTTTTATAGCCTATGCCACGTCTGCGATAGAATGTGGATGTTACATAGATGTATTTTAAATTTTCTTATGCTCCCTTGAAATAGATAAGTTAAAAGCTTTGGCATTTCTGATACTCTTACTTTAGCACTCACTAAAACAGATATGTCACTTATTTATCATCGTCATCTTGTTGTCCTTTTATTTATTGGATTTTGGGATCGACCAGTCGCCTGCTGATGCCAACCTTCTTCTACAGATAAAAGAGAGGGAGGGAAAGAAAGTAAAACTAGAAGTGAAAATGGATCAGAAACTGCAGTAATTTTAAAAAAAACAAGGTCGTGTTCTCGTATGGTAGAGGTCGCTTATTTATATCACCCAAAGAATAATTTTACACAAAAAGTTTGACTAAATCCTCTTTTTTCATCTGAGAGAAATTTACAACGGCTTGATAAGGCTTACTGTAATCTCTAATTCTACTCATCAATTACGTTCACAAAAATAAAAATATATTTTTAACCACTGGTTAACGTGGGCACTAACACACTAAAATGTTATTTATACAATAAATTTATAGCCTGTTGTCTTTTGAATTTGGAAATAGACACAAAAACCTCGAAAGACATATGAACGTCTGTCTCAGAAATGCACGTATGTATGTATGACCTTACACGGAGATATGCATTCTCGGATTATTTCCCTTTACGGCACTAAATATCAAACCATATTACACACAAAGCCTTAGAATTTGTTATCGTGAATTGACCCTATAAGCCTATATATCTCTATAAGCCGTCCGTTTTCGGCACGTCTCCTCTTTGTTCGGTATTATGTGAGCTATTATCATTAGTCGCAGATGACGATCCGCCCTAACTTGTCTTATCTTTTATACGGCACTTCTTTGTCCTGTAATAGATTTAGTGGTACTAGATTCAAAAGGCACTCACGAACCAAATCTTATTTATCGTTAGCCAAAACGAGATTTTTAAAAACGTATGAAGAGATTTTTCATTCTTAGACCGTCAAAATAGGCAAAAAGTTAAATTTAAACTTATAACAAAAATAATAATTAAAAGGGTACATGCCATAACTGATTATTTAGTATTGTTTTAAAGTAAACCATAAGACGGTTATTGTGAATATCATATAAGTTAAAGACATATCTAACATTTGGCAATTATTTTCGATTGTGTTGCTTTTTCAGTTATAACTTATATAGAAACTGTGTATATTTTACCTATGCTTAAACTGTACAACAAACGAACAAACAAAACAAACGAAAAAACAACATGACACCTTTGTGCTTGTTTGTCACGATTAGTCAAAACTAATTTTAATCAGCTAGAGACTTCGCAAATTTATAGACACTTATTTCTTCAAAAATGCCCACTTACACTCCTACCCATCAGACTAACGGTCATAGTACAAAGTATTTCAACACAACAATGGAAAAAGTTACTGAACTTTTTAACATTTATTATAATGATTTCATTATAGCACAATGTTACACAGTTTTTTTCCATATTCCATTAGCAACAATATACTACGTAAAATAAAAAAAGTACGCAAAATTTGATCAGTTCGAAAGCATTTTCTTTGATGTTCCAGTTTTACAAAAAGTAGTAATATTACAATCCTATAAAATAACCGTGTTATCCATCAATTTCATAAATAATATTATATTATTACCAATTGCTAATATATAATGCTACCTATTTTAATAAGTAAAGTAGTTAGCCGGAGATTACAAATCTAAGTGTTTTATTGTCGAGTCATTAGCGTGGCGTAGTGTGACCTATGAGCGCTCATAACCAGACCTCGGATCTATTTTAATTTGTGTTAAAACCTAATTTAAAATGTGGGTTAGAATCACGATAAAGATATACGCATTGGAAATTATTTATCACAAGGACATGAAATGTCCTTCATTCATATTACTTCTACTGGAAAACAACTTGGAAACAATTTTATGCTATTTTCAATTACTAAATTGATTAATAAAAGAATAGAAATAACAGAATGTACTGAGCTACGAGCAATACACACTAACATATAAGTTTAATAAAAAAATAGTATTTATAATATATATATATATATATGTATATTAGGCAACTCCCGCATTAGGAATATATTCTGTGTCGCGCGGGGCTTTAAAAACATACATGAAACGGACACAAAGAACACCCAGACACAGAATAACAATTCGTCGTCCCATGTGGGGTTTGAACCTAAAACAGTCGGTGTATTATACAAATGTATAAAATAGATTTGTATAATGATTTAACCTCATTTATAAGGAGAGGCCTATGTCCAGAAGTGGACTAGTAAAGGCTGTTGATGGTGGTGATGAAGATAGTGATATAATATTGCACTGTAAATTAGCTTACATTTGCTGAAAGTATAACAAATTAGTTTAGTAGCAAATCGTCATCATCATCTCAGCCGAAAGATGTTCTCTGCTAGACATAGGAATCCCCTCAGGCTCTCCAAAACAACCGGTCCTGTGCTGCCCGCATCCAAAGGCTTTCTCGAGACTTCACCATAGGACACCACCACCTTGTATGGGCTTAATTACTCTCCGTCTTCTGGCAAATAGTTAATACAAATATAACCCACGCATGAGCTTAAAAAGTGCATCACTTTTTTAGGTAAAAGGTCTTAATTGTTTTCCTTAAGCACCATTAAGACAATCAATGTCATAACCGTTAAAAATAACATGATTAAAAATCAGCGCCACTGGCCTTATTTCCTCAACCATTTCTTAAAACATTATCATCTTGTGGTCATCCTACCCTAACTAGGGACAAAATGGTACCGTTTTTCACGTCAACTTAATTGCCAATTAGTGTGGCCAATCCTGTTTACAATATCAATCTTAAAGCCCTTTTAAGAAATCGCGTACACTGTAGAATACCAATGAGATTAAAAATTAATTCAATTTTTATGGCCATCCTTAGCTAGGATTGGTCTTAAGTGGACGTCATTTCTGGTAACATTATTTTGGAGTCGAATAATCAGAATTGAAGTTGTAACTGTAAATTAATTATTTTATGTTTATAGCTGCAAGTTTTCCATGAATTGAAATAAATAAATAAATTTCTAAGCTATACTTACTAAGAAATGTGTTTGTCACAGTTCTCTTAGATCTAAAGGTATGTCACGTAGAAAATGTATTGGAAACATAAAATAATGTACGAGTAATAGCTTTTCATTTCAGTAGCATATGGCAATACCCAAGTACCTATTGTAGGAAAAAATGAACTCTAATATATAACGTGAAATAAGTGGTTGGCTGCGCTCGATTTAAGATTCCAATCTCAGCGCTACTCAACAAGGTCAACAGAAAATATTTTAGAAGTATGTTTCAACAGTAAGCTTTTGGGGAAACAACCTCTAAAGCACACATAAATTCAGAGGACAAAACATAAAACTAGCAGTAAGTATGGGGACGCGTCGCAAAACCAGGACTATGCACTGAAATATGCAGAAGGGGACCGGAGGAGTACATAGAGTTTAGGTAGAAGT